TCATTTGGAGTAGATTTAGGTACTAAATCGTATATTAGATTATTAAAATTTGAGGAACAAATTTTTATTTCTAGTCAATTTACACTTCAGGCCTATTTGGCCTTAAGTGCATGAAAACATTGATTGCACTTCAGACCTTTTGGCCTTAAATGCATCTGAAGTGTAATTTTTTACTTCGGACTTATTGGCCTTAAGTGTAGGAAAACGTTTGTTGCACTTCAGATCTTTTGGCCTTAAGTGCATCTGAAGTGCAATTTCTTACTTCAGACTTATTGGCCTTAAGTGCATCTGAAGTGTAATTTTTTACTTCAGACTTATTGGCCTTAAGTGCATGAAACCATTGGTTGCACTTCACACCTATTTGGCCTTAAGTGCATCTGAAGTGGGTAGGCTTGTAACTTTTTTTGCAAAGTCGGTATAGATTCAATTGTGATCTCAAACTCGAGTATAAATGCAAAAGCCCCGAATAATGGTGGTGTTCACGGTTTGATTAAAATCGACCCAAATCAAAAATCTATTCAAACGGGCTAAATAATANTAGTAGAACTACTTTGGTACTACTAAATAAGAAAATCTTCGGTTCCCTTTGTTTGAATAAACGCCGTTTATTTTTAGTTTACATTCAAACCAAAGTAAACCAAGTCTAAGCGGTCACGATATATTGACGAGTTTGATGGAGTTTAGCTGACTGAATCCATAAAACCTAAAAATTCACCGANATTCATAAAACCTAAAAATTCATCGTCACTGATACTTTTTTATTTAAATTTGACTCTATAGGTAGGTATCGACGGGACTTGCGTAATATAGTTGTAGTTAAGGCTTTTTACCTGTATACACTAATGGTCTTTAGGCCAGCCTAATTCTTAAAAGAAAATCGTGAATCCAAACCCATTTTGTAAGGAAATAACTATGAAATTTTTACCTAGAATTTGTTTATAAACTTTATTCACCTATTAAAGCTTATAGATTCAAGAGATTATTTTCCATAGCTCTTATATTAGTGATTGCTATATGTAGGTAATTATTATGTGGGCTTTCTGATTTTTGTTTTTTCCTCTTCTAGGGGCGTGTGGATGGTTTTTTTTTAAGGTTTCACCGTTAGTTACAAATGGACATGGATGTTTTCTGTTACTTGGACAAAATATGTTCAAGTTTTACAAATTTAGACCGTTTTGATTGACTTATTTTAAGTGTTTTTAAGTCAAAATAATTTTTAAGTCATTAGAGTATATAAGGTGCTTTTAAAGGTCAAATTAAGCCTATCTCAAAGATGAAGGACAATTTTGGCCGAGAACTCTTTTTTCCTTTACAGCTTGATGGATGGTTGATATGTATTGTTTCATAATGTATTATATAATATTAGAATTTATTATAATGTATCGTTTTGATGTATACAATATTTGGATATATTGTATTATTTGTCGTCGTTTCATGATATCATGCACTAATAATATAAAAAATAAACTTGTAATATTATAAAGAAAAAGTAAATTACGAGATATAATTACTATATAAATAGGTAGAGTAAATGATAAAATAGAATTATTTAATAAGGAAGGGCACGATGAGAGGGAAAAAAAAGTAACGACGTGACCACACCAAATCGGCCATTCCACAAAGTGACACTTTTCATCGTTACGTAACGACGAATTTAACGATATAATATACTCCTTCCATTTCAAATTAGATGAGATGCTTTCCTTTTTAGTTTGTTCCAAAATAAATGACACATTTCTAAATTTGGAAATAATTCAACTTTAAACTATTCATTTTATACATTTTACCATTAATGAGAAGCTTTTATAACTATATTGGTCCAAATAAATATTTTGGGTTAATATAATTGGATTAATTATATAAATTAAATATATATGGATTAAATAAATAAGTCATAATCCATTGGGCTAGCCCATTTAATTGGGCTAAAGTGATGAGCCAACTTCATTAAGCCCAAAATGTCATCTACCTAAAGGCCCAGTTTGGTGTCACGTGTCATATGACGTGGCATGCCAAGTCAAATGAAAGATCCAATTAAATCATGCCACATGTCAAAATAACCAGGCATGCCAACTCACATTAAAAGGCCAATGAAATCGTGACACGTGTCCAAGTGACATGTTCTGGCCAATCAAATGCCGTCTTGTCACACTTCAATTTGATTGGTCGAAAAAAGTTTGTTCCTATCATAACTCTTCCCTACCACAACTATAAATATGGGTCTTCATAACTCATAAAAAACACCAGAAGTTATAACAAGAAGCAAGAGAGAGCTCGTGGATCAAACACTACAAATTTCTCCACAAGTTTCAAACTCCAAGCAATCAAGTTCAAGCTTAAGAACGAAAAACAAATCAAGGTCAAGTTCAAGCAACCAAGCTAAAGCTCAAGAACAAGATCATCGTTCGTGGCGACAACTACATATTCAAGATCAAGCTCAAAGGCCCTTGAATTTATTTATTATTCAAAAGAAGAATCAGAGGATTCATAGAGATTGTACACTCAAATATTTGAAATACTACGATTGTTGTAATATTTTTCGGCCTGATTTTATTTTCTCAACGCAATTTATTGTCTACAGTTATGTTTCAAATTTGAACTCATTTGGAGTAGATTTAGGTACTAAATCGTATATTAGATTATTAAAATTTGAGGAACAAATTTTTATTTCTAGTCAATTTACACTTCAGGCCTATTTGGCCTTAAGTGCATGAAAACATTGATTGCACTTCAGACCTTTTGGCCTTAAATGCATCTGAAGTGTAATTTTTTACTTCGGACTTATTGGCCTTAAGTGTAGGAAAACGTTTGTTGCACTTCAGATCTTTTGGCCTTAAGTGCATCTGAAGTGCAATTTCTTACTTTAGACTTATTGGCCTTAAGTGCATCTGAAGTGCAATTTTTTACTTCAGACTTATTGGCCTTAAGTGCATGAAACCATTGGTTGCACTTCACACCTATTTGGCCTTAAGTGCATCTGAAGTGGGTAGGCTTGCAACTTTTTTTGCAAAGTCGGCATAGGTTCAATTGTGATCTCAAACTCGAGTATAAATGCAAAAGCCCCGAATAATGGTGGTGTTCACGGTTTGATTAAAATCGACCCAAATCAAAAATCTATTCAAACGGGCTAAATAATATTTTTTGGGTTTAGTTTTGGTTTGATTTTGATTTTTAAAAAATTGACAATATTCCATTTAGATGATTTTATAAAATAAAAAATCGAAGAAAAAATTGAATCAGATTGACAAATTATATTCACAATTTGTATATATATATATATATATATATATATATATATATATATGTTAAAAAATTTAAAAATTAAATATTTTGTATACTTTCCATCAAAATTTTATTTTTGCCATTAACATCTTAATAGTAGAACTACTTTGGTACTACTAAATAAGAAAATCTTCGGTTCCCTTTGTTTGAATAAACGCTGTTTATTTTTAGTTTACATTCAAACCAAAGTAAACCAAGTCTAAGCGGTCACGATATATTGACGAGTTTGATGGAGTTTAGCTGACTGAATTCATAAAACCTAAAAATTCATCGTCACTGATACTTTTTTATTTAAATTTGACTCTATAGGTAGGTATCGACGGGACTTGCGTAATATAGTTGTAGTTAAGGCTTTTTACCTGTATACACTAATGGTCTTTAGGCCAGCCTAATTCTTAAAAGAAAATCGTGAATCCAAACCTATTTTGTAAGGAAATAACTATGAAATTTTTACCTAGAATTTGTTTATAAACTTTATTCACCTATTAAATCTTATAGATTCAAGAGATTATTTTCCATAGCTCTTATATTAGTGATTGCTATATGTAGGTAATTATTATGTGAGCTTCCTAGCTTTTGATATGTAGGCTTTCTGATTTTTGTTTTTTCCTCTTCTAGGGGTGCGTGTGGATGGTTTNTAAATGCATCTGAAGTGTAATTTTTTACTTCGGACTTATTGGCCTTAAGTGTAGGAAAACGTTTGTTGCACTTCAGATCTTTTGGCCTTAAGTGCATCTGAAGTGCAATTTCTTACTTTAGACTTATTGGCCTTAAGTGCATCTGAAGTGCAATTTTTTACTTCAGACTTATTGGCCTTAAGTGCATGAAACCATTGGTTGCACTTCACACCTATTTGGCCTTAAGTGCATCTGAAGTGGGTAGGCTTGCAACTTTTTTTGCAAAGTCGGCATAGGTTCAATTGTGATCTCAAACTCGAGTATAAATGCAAAAGCCCCGAATAATGGTGGTGTTCACGGTTTGATTAAAATCGACCCAAATCAAAAATCTATTCAAACGGGCTAAATAATATNCCTTTACAGCTTGATGGATGGTTGATATGTATTGTTTCATAATGTATTATATAATATTAGAATTAATTATAATGTATCGTTTTGATGTATACAATATTTGGATATATTGTATTATTTGTCGTCGTTTCATGATGTCATGCACTAATAATATAAAAAATAAACTTGTAATATTATAAAGAAAAAGTAAATTATGAGATATAATTACTATATAAATAGGTAGAGTAAATGATAAAATAGAATTATTTAATAAGGAAGGGCACGATGAGAGGAAAAAAAAAGTAACGACGTGACCACACCAAATCGGCCATTTCACAAAGTGACATTTTTCATCGTTACGTAACGACGAATTTAACGATATAATATACTCCTTCCATTTCAAATTAGATGAGATGCTTTCATTTTTAGTTTGTTCCAAAATAAATGACACATTTCTAAATTTGGAAATAATTCAACTTTAAACTCTTCATTTTATACATTTTACCATTAATGAGAAGCTTTTATAACCATACAAATATCATGGTCCCACAAAAGTTTTTACCTCTTACGTTTTTAAGATCATAAATTTCAAAAGTCTTTTTTTCCCCCTTAAATTTCATGTCGAATCAAACTAACTCATCTAAATTGAAACAAAAAAAAAATTAAATAATAATCAAAATAAATATTATATTTAAAATAACATACCATCGATCCAAACAAGTTGTTAAATGTTGCCTATGCCTATTTCAGAGGGTAGACAATTTGCACATTAAAAAGCCACGTGTCTACAAAGACTGCTTTTTGAAGCTCGTGCCGCTTTCAGATATGACCAGCATATCCCTTTTACGTTACCCTTCCTTCCACGTGGCATTATCAGCAAAGTCTACACGTGGCACCAACCCATTTACTCCTCCAGCTATACTATATAACCAAAGAGCCCCATTAATCCCTTTCTCGGCAATCTCAAGAAAATCACAGCTTTTTGATTGATACCCCAAGAAATTCGATCATATCTTTGTTTGACGGCTATGGAGTTGTGTTTTCTCCCTCACGTTAAGACCTTTAATTATTCTCATTTTCTGACACCAATTTCCAAGATTTCTGCTACTCATCCTTCAACCCTCAAATTTCCATACAGTTATGCTAATAGAAGCAAAAGTTGGACGTTGAAGTGTGCAAAAGGGAGTTCAGTTTGGGAAATAGAAAGAAAGTTAGAGGACGAGATGAGTATTATTGAAGATCAAGAATTGGTCAGCATTGGGAGATTGACTGATAAGTGTAAAGGAGAAGGTGGAATGGTAGAGTTGTTGGAGTGTTTGGAAAGAGAAGCGATTATGGGAGAAGATGAAGGAAAAGAACCAATGGATTACAATAGAAGAGCTCAGATTTTTGATAAAAGTTCTCGAGTTTTCCAGGCTCTCAAAGAAAGAGAAGCTACTAGTGGTATCTGATTCTTGACTCTTTGTAAACAAATGTGCAAAAAATATTGGAATTATGGTTGGCTAAAGAATAATGTTGGCAAAATCGTGTATGATACTACCAATATTACTGCCTTATAATAATAATTAACATGAGCTGCTTATGTTACGTTGCCCCAATTGCAATTAATGTTTATTCTTGTGAAAATATCTTAGATAGATCGTCTCCGGAATTTTTATAAGTGGAGAGATTGTTTGATTGGTTGCATTATTAAAATAATTTCGATAATATATCACACATAAAATGATATAGTATTACATTAATTATTGTTTGTATTAATATTTGCATAACTAATGTAGTGTTTGAGTGGTCTTCCAAAAAAAAAAAAACTCTACAAAAGTAATTGTGTTTGGTTGGGTTATTAAGCTCTATTATCTCACTAGGAATTGAATGTAGAATAAGAAGAGCAATTCATACATAACGTACATTTCATGTATTATTCACAACATAAGTTTCCCTATGAATTACATTATATAGGAACTGTTTATGCAGTTTTAGGGGTTAAGAAGAGTGATAACTCAAACTTTTTTCTTTTGCGAGTTTGGGTTTTGATATGATTGGTTTTGTTCTTCTTGAATGTTGAAGTTATACTACAAAAATTCTAGGTTCAGCGAAGCTTTTTCTTATTCACTTTCAAGAATAGAGGCAGATCTAAGATTACAATACTATTACAAAGACGTGAATCTATAATTTAGATTTCTTTGGCCTTGTTTGTACATAGTCCATTGAAAGTTGTGTCGCATGTTTCTAACACATCCCTAACGGTAACAAAATCCCCAATTCACATTGCTTTCTTTTCTCACGCACCACCCATGGAGAGGGCGTCTGGCCCTATTCCGGCGCGTCCGGAACAACCACCTGATCCCTCAGGCATAGCGTTGAGACCCCCAGGATATATCCCCACCCAAAACTAACTATGTGAATGCAGTTGCTGGATCATCACCGGGCTCCAGCCGCCATCGAGAATCTGTCTAAGGCGGAGATTACAACCCATAATGGTATGCCGGCGGTCATATTTGATGCGGAGGACTGCTATGGTATTATGGCAGAGGAATGAAAATATACTATCAATGGCTGATTTCTAAAAAGACGACCCCAAATTGAAACCATACGGGCTATAATCAAGGAAACCATCCCAATCAAAGGCTCGATTAAAGTCGGAGTCTATGACAACAAGAATGTCTTCATCGATGTTTACAACGAAGAGGACTTCAAGACGGTCTACTTTAAACATGTTATTGAAATTGATGGTCAGCCTATGTGGTTAAGCAGATGGACTCCCGACTTCACTCCGGAGGAAGATAACCCTCTAACTCTGGTATGGGTTCTACTGCCGAAACTCCCATTTCATTTACATACTTGGCATTACGTGAAACAAATACTGAGCCCTATTGGAACTCCAATGGCAATGGATGTAGCTACTAAAGGAAAAACAAGACCAAACATGGAAAAAGTCTGAGTAGAAATCGACCTAACTAAACCAAGATTAAATCATGTATTTGTTGGTCAAAGGAAATCGACTAATCCGCTCTAGGGATATGAGCAAAAAATTGAGTATGGAGGAGTACCTAAATACTGTATACATTGTAGACTACAAGGTCATTCAATCAACCAGTGTAGAAGATTGAAAAAGGAGAACAATGAGACAAATGAGATATTGAAAGACAATATCGCACACCCCCAAACAAAGTAAACTAAAGAACAACTGATTCCAAAGGAGATTCAAGCAGAGGATCGGCAAAGGGGCAGAGATTTTCAAAAGAACAAAGATATGGACAGCATCCCAAAAAGAGGAAAGAGTGCTCCTCCAAAACAAGCGTATAAACTAACTGGAGCGATCTTTGGTGTTGATAAACCTCTACCTAATGTCGGGAACATCAAAACTGTGAACTCCAATATTATGAGGATAGAAGAACCAAACAAGAACCAAGCAAAGGACACTACAAAGGATAAAAGAAAAGACACAAATATATCATCATGTAGTACCTCTCAAATAATAGTTCAAGACGAAGCTATCCGGAAAAACTTGAATATAGAAAGAAGCAGGATAGTTATTCTTATTGAAGATCCTAAAGCTCTTCAAGTCGTCCTATTTCAAGATGATGAAAGGAGACAAGAAGAGGAGAGACAATGGTGTACTCAGAAACAAAAGACTACAAAGATGCAGAAACAAAGGAAGATACATCAAAATATTACCGAGAAAGAATTAGCTATTCATAATAAGTTTGATTCTCTCAGGAAGGATGATACCATAAAGAACAAAATAGTTGTAAAGGTGCAAGAACAGAATAACAATGAGGAGAACCTGGACAAGTCTTAGAATAATAAAGAGCCTCCTGATGAGTGGGCAGATGCATCTAGTACAGAAGAGGAAGAAACAACAGATGAAGTGTCATCAGAGGAGGAAAATACAGTTGAAGAAACTGAAGTGTTGCATCAGATTGTTGGAGGAAAGAAGAAATATATTAATGAAGTTCAAGGCCTAACTGGTATTACTAATTTAATGGACGGAATACATTTTGGGGGCAAATCAACAAGCAAAAAAAGTGGAAAAGCTAGAGAATCTCCTATAACTAGGGGCCAAAAAAGAAACTCACAAACGACCCTTAATATTCTAAATCATGTTTAAATTGCTTAGTTGGAATATAAGGGGTATGAAATCCCAAGCTGCTACAGAAAGATTAATCTACATGGTTAAGCTTCATAAAATCTCTTTGGTTGCTATACAGGAACCATTTATGCAAGAAACTACTATAGACTTTTATAAAAATATTTTGGGTATGCAGGGTTATTTTGCAAACTTTAGTAATAAGATTTAGGTATTCTGGAGTGCTAATTTGATTTGTAAAGTTTATGCCAACCATGCTCAAATGATTACATGTAAAGTTATGCCTTACAACTCTGACCAAGCTGCTCTCGTCTCAATTGTCTATGCTAAATCTAAGTCTGCCGGAAGAGAGGAACTTTGGGAGTATATGAGAACTTTTGCTACTACTGTTTCTATCCCCTGGACTGTATGTGGTGACTTCAATAGCATCATTAATGCAGAAGAAAAGATGGGAGGCGTTCCACATAGACTTGGTAAAAGTCTTCCTTTCATCGAATGTCTGAATGATTGTGGTTTAATGGATATGGGATACTCAGGGCACACATTTACTTGGTGTAATGAAAGAAAAGGGAAGGAGATCATATGGAAAAGGCTGGATAGAATGGTCGCTAATAATGAGTGGGATATACACTTCTCTAAAATATCAGTTCAGCACTTAACAAGATTAAACTCTGACCATTGTCCAATTCTCATCACTGCTGAAAAGGATGATGGGAACTACATCAAATATTTTAAGTTCTTAAATTTTTTGGTGGATCGAGATAACTTCAGAGATATTGTTAAACAAAAATAAACAACAATGGGAGGCTGATATTATGGGTAACATCTTTTGGATTGTTTATCAGAAAATGAAGAAGACTAGCAGAGCCCTTAGTGAGTGGTCTAGAAACAAAATTGAGGACATCTTTGTTAACATTTAAGTACTAGAAAACAAGGTGGATGAATGTGAGACTAATTATATGAATTCTTTGAACCAAGAAGATAGAATGAACCTCAATAAATCCAGGGCCAAATTATTGATCCATCACAAGATGGTTGACACCTTTTGGAGACAAAAAGTTAACCTCAAATGGCAACTTGAAGGTGATGAGAACACCAGATTTTTTCATAGCATGGTCAGAGGTAGAAGGAAGAGATTGTATATACATAGAATTAAGGTTGACGACCAATGCATAGAAGGAGATGATAATATTGGGCAAGCTGTTGTAGACTTCTACCAATAACTCTTCAGCCAAGACAACAATGAGATTGATATGAGTATCATAGATGTCATATCAAATATGTTACAACATTAGACAATGGGATGTTGTTAGCGGAACCATCTCCGGAAGAAGTTAAGAGGGCTGTTTTTTATATAAATCCAAATAGTATTGCAGGCCCTGATGGTTTCAATAGTATGTTCTTTTAGAAAACATGGGAGATCGTCGGTGATGATATAGTTCATCTGGTGAGAGCTGTTTTTAATGGAGAGCAAATGCCTAGATTCTTCACTAACACTTGTTTGATCCTAATTCCAAAAATTGAAGCTCCCTAGTACTTCTCTGAATTCAGATCTATTAGCCTTAGTAATGTTTCCCAGAAGATAGTTTCTAAAGTGATGAATGAGAGGTTATCTAAGCTACTCCCCAGAATTATTTGTCAAAACCAAAGCAGTTTCATTAAGGGGAGAGCAATTGGGGAAAATTTTCTTCTTGTGCAAGAGATTATACATGATATGAGAAAACCTAATAAGGGAGGTAATATCCTGATTAAGTTAGACATGAAAAAAGCCTATGACAGACTATCATGACATTTTCTTGGCACGGTTATGAGGAGGATAGGATTTGCAGAACAATGGATTCATATTGCCTGGAACCTTTTATCCAACATGTGGTATACAGTGGTAATAAATGGTAAAAGACATGGATTCTTCAAATCACCTAAAACAGGGAGACCCTCTATCTGAAGCTCTCTTTATTATTGCTGCTGAAGTTTTATCAAGGATGCTTAATAACTTATATAGTAATCCTAAGTTCATTGGTTTTACTATGCAACCAAATGGACCAAAGATTAATCATTTATCTTATGCTGATAATATTAAATCTTTTGTGCAGGAAAAGCAGCAACTTTACAACTAATTATGGACACTCTAAGAAAATATGAAGATAACTCAGGCCAACTTATCAATAAGGAGAAAAGTTGTTTCCTGATGGACAAAGAGATCCCTGCCAAGAGAAAACATATTGTGGCTAGGAACTTGAATTTTCAAGAAAAAGAATTTCCTATCAAATATTTGGGATGTCCACTATTTTATGGGAGAAAAAAGATTGAGTTCTTTACGGAGATGGACACTAAAATCATCCAAAGAGTAGAATCTTGGCATGCTAACTTATTATCTACAAGTGGCAAAAAGACTCTTTATCAAGCATGTTCTAACTGCAATACCTTTTCACTTGATGTCTATTTGCCAACCACCAAATACTATTTTAGCCAGATTGAAATAGTCTTTGCAAACTTTTTCTGGGGAAACCTAGAAGGTAAACAAAAATATCACTGGTCCTCATGGAAAAACTTGTGCTTACCAATTGAAGAAGGAGGAATTGGCATTAGAACTCTGCAAGAGATCTTAGATACCTTCTCAGCTAAGCTTTGGTGGCAATTTAGAACCAGAGAATCTCTTTGGACTGATTTTATGAAGGCCAAATATTCTTAAAGGGTTTACCCAATGGCCAGAAAATGGAACTACTCTCACTCATACACTTGGAGATGGATGATGAAAATCAGACATATAACTGACCACCTAATTCTTTGGAAGATAAACTCTGGCAACTCAAACTTTTGGTGGGATAACTGGACTGGAATGGGTAAGCTAGCTCAATTTGGAACTGCATCTACCTTCATAAAGAATCAGGTATCCTCTTATATCTCTAATGGTAACTGGAATACTCTTAAACTCTCTCAAAACCTTCCTTTACATGTTGTTCATCAAATTCAAGGAGTCAAAATTAACTCTCCCAACATAAAAGACCAACCAATATGGACTGCGTCAATAGATGGGAGATTTAGTTGTAACTCAGCTTGGAGAAATCTTAGAGAAATTCATAATACTTCACTTATTAATAAGATGACTTGGCCTCCAAGATGTCCGTTTAAAATTTCTTCCTTCCTTACTTTGGAGGCTACTCACACATAAGGTCTCTATAGATGGCAACCTAGGCAGATTTGGCACTCAATTGGCCTCCAAATGTTCATGTTGCATTAGTTCTAGTTCAGAGGATGAAGATCGCATGTTCATCAACAACATGGTTGGTAAAGCGGTATGGCTATTCTTCAACCAAATATTTGGTGTTAGAAGAGATCATAACAACATTAGGCAGATGGTCGTTACTTGGTGGATGGAAAGTGGTCAAAATACTTTACAAAAATTTGCCCTACAAATCCTACCTGGCATAATTGTTTGGAAAGCTAGATGTAAGAGCAGATTTGAAGGGATTAGGATGTCCTCCAGCTGGATAATCCTTCACACTACCCAGCAACTCAATATTATTGCTTACAAATAATTTCCCGTAGTACCTCCGTTCATGAAAAGGAATCATTTCTTTGAATTAATTGATACTGCACAACCTGCAATTCATACTAATTTTGTTAAGTGGTTCTCCCACACAATGGATGGATGAAATTGAACTGTGATGGATGCTCTAAGGTCAATCCAGGCCCTAGTGGAGGAGGAGGTATTATCGGGGATGATCATGGGAACTTGATTAAGGCGTATGCTATATCATTTGGCACGAATACTAATAACTTTGCTAAAACTTTAGCACTGAAATACGGTATAGACTGGTGCATTCATAATAATATCAAAAAAGTTGAGGTGGAAAGTAACTCTCTCATGCTGGTAAATTGGATTACAAACACCAAATGAATTGCGTTGAAGAAGTTACTATGAAACACTGCTTCAGGGAATGCAAAAGGTAGCAGATCATTTTGCTAACTTTGGCTTGAATTGTAATGACATTACTTGGTTCGACAATTTCTACCAACTTCCCAGGGAGGTTAGAGGAGAAGTTAACATGGACAAACTCCAATTTCCTTCTCTTCATAGCAAAATCATGAAGAAAAATTTATTTTTGAATCGACAACTTCTCATGATGTACCATTTTGACGTCTACTAATAATATGTTAGCTTCATTCGGGAGGACTCTCACTCTGAGAATATGTTCCCACTAAATTTTTCTGATGTGAAATAGATGTAAAGAGAGAGCTTGTTCCTTCCTATTAAACATATATAGGATACCCACTATGTAGTATCCTACTTTTGTAATGCTTTCATATTTATAAGACCTTATCCATACACGATGAAGGTGGATAATTAATTTTGTTTTTAAAAAATAAAAAAAATTAGGAGGATCGGCTCAACAAGATTCGAGGCCTAAAGCCAGCCAAACTTCACAGAGAGGCCCTAAAAGGTTTTTCAAAAAAAAGAAAGAAAGAAAAGATGATCATATATGTTTTTATTTAAAGTCTATTTTTCTACCTTTTTTAGATGCAAAATTATTAATTATTATCTTATAATCAATTTGTTCTAATTATTTTCATTAATCGATTTGTTCTTACATTTTCCCTTTTTTTTCTCTTTTTGCATAATCGTATCCATATTTTCTAGTTGACATATTTAAATTGAATAAAATCTAATAATAACTAAAACAATTCATATACTTAGGAAGTAAGAATATCAATAATGACAAATTTTCAATGAAAAAAATATAATATAAAGTTAGAATAATAAAACCTGGCTCAAGAATTTGATAAATTGATATAACGATATCAAAATAGTAGTTCTGTGCTTCAAAATAACGATTGCTTTTGTCTTGTTGCAATGCTTGAAATTTTAAAGAAGACACCTAAAAGCAAACTTTGATCTTTTGTGAACACACAATAGTAAGTTTTCTGCAATGGAATAAGGAATAATTAATAAGAAAAGAGTAAGAATAAGTGAAAGAGAGAATATAGAATGAAAAAGATAAATATAAGAATAGTCATGTGGGCCCATGTTAGTTGTTAGGATGTAATTGAGGCAAGAAATTAGGCACCGAAAGGAAAATAGAATTACCTAAAGATTTATTTCATTCCCAATTACTGCAACGTTCCCCACATATACAAAAGGTAAAAAGTTACTTTCTTCCAAAAATTTCGCTTCAACAATATATGTACGAATTTTGTTTTTTATAATAGTAACATACATCTTTAGAAAAAAATGGGGCCCTCAAAAAGTTGAGGCCCCAAGCCATTGCTTTAGTTGTCTTATAGTTCAGCCGCCCCTGACTTTTAGGTTCCTACCATGAATCCATTATTATTTAGAAACTAAATTTTAGAATTAAAATGTTTCTTGCAATTTTAGTGATTTTTAACTTACCTATCTATACTGCAGATAAAAAATGTTAGAATCATTGAACCATATTACATCATCCACTGCTATTAGTATTAGTTATATAAAATTTTGTAAAGACAAAGGGAGATAAAGTATTTCAATGTGTTAGATTTAGCGATTTTGAATGAATAAACCAAAATAAAAAGATAAATAGAAAAAAATATGCTTAATTAAACACAAGAGGGAACACTAGACATGCTAGCAAACTAAGATTTGAACTTTACTTGTAAAGTTACACCCAATAATCATTACACCATAGGACTCTTTGAATTTGGGTGCATATATATACATGTATATTTACGGAATTTGTAAGAAATATAACATTATTATACATGGTACAGAGAAAGGAGCATGGGTTCACGTGCCTCATCCTCCAACACATAAATACGCCTCTGTCAAGGGTGGAATTCTCCAAGTACCAGTATCACTTGAATTCTTTCCTTCCCTAGTGAAAGATTTGGTTGAATGTAGGATACACTGAAAAGTGAAAACCAAAGCTCAAAACAAAGAACAATTGTGGATGGCTCTGCTGTTTTAGCTAAGCAATAGGGAGGATGAGGGATTTTGCACTTCTTAGGCAGCTGCATGGCAAGTTTTGGATCAATCCCCAGGGAAGGCAACCACAGGGAATTCTTGTTAGAGTAAAGGTAGCCCATGCAATATATGCATTGGACAGTGCGGTGCAGCACTTGGCTGTTGGTGCCCGCAGATTTGGTGGTGTCACTGATGGTTTGCATGCCATTAAACCTTCCCCTGTTAAACATATTCCTTGAGGCCGCTATACCTCTACTAATATTGCCCTAACATAATGGCAACCAAAGCCAAAGCCACACATCTTTTTGCCCAAGTAATGCTCCATCTCTGTTTCTTTCTGTTAGGGTCTATTGCAAGGAATGAGACTTGAGTCTCACATCTGTACTACAAAATACTGATTTGGGGTATATATAGCCTTGGACTCTCCCATCTTAATAGCTAGCTTTTAGGGAGTGGTTCTCCCTAGGTTGTATCAATGAATTACTTTCGATATGTGTAATATGCAAGTAAATAGCATGAAATAAAGGTTTTATACAGGTTGGAATGTGTGCGAATTATTGGATTTAAGCCTGGGTGATGTAACAACCGGAAACCCGTGAAAGTCAATAGGCGTTGCTTTCTCGCAAAACTGTGGTGTCAAGGACACTGGTTTTTGAGCCATCAAGTGGCAATTCCTTGTACCCCTGGCTTCTCATTATCAGTGCATTGACCATTGATGATTCCAGAACTATGTGATACTGTTCGTATAGTTTTCCTTCACTGTTCACTCGTTTTCAAATAGTGCCTGTGTCAAGTTTACGTTAAAGCTCATATTTCGCAAGTGCACTTGAAAAAGAGAAATTGTACCTTGCCCAGCGATCAGAAAATCATTGCAAAACTAGCGTAATTGCACATGAATAAGAGAACTGTACCTTGCGCTCCAATCTATAAACTCATGCAAATGTATCATACACCGCAGAAGAATGCAGCTGTTATAACCATGATCTCATCTTCCCTGCAGCTCACAAAACCTATGAAAGATGAAATGTCCATGAATCGGAAATTACTTGTAAAATTCTATGGTGAAGAAAGAAATACCAAATGTGAAGAGAGGAATGCTTTGAGAAGTTGACTCCCCTAGGACTTTGGTCAGGAGCATAAGGAGAGATCAGGACTTGAAAATTTTGTTTGTGTAACGGAATTGCATACCATAGTAGACCAACCACGCCAGCTCATGTTGCCAAATGATTCAACAAAAGACTAGGCATTCAACTTTAGTACACCTCCAGAGAAACTTTTAGATCAAGCATAGAGCTGAACGAGCAATCACAAATAGACAAATAACGACTGGTAACAAAATTGGGCTACAGGGCTAACTCAGAAAAGAAAAACACACAGTTCAGATGTCATAATATCCCATACAATAAAATAGCTTGGGCGATCGTTCCATGCATATCGGAGACCGCCTCAAAGAAGACAATTAAAAAACAACCTAGAAACTACATCATAGTTGAGAAAGGGATCAAAGTTTAACAGAACTTCCAGCGATTATCGCAGTTTACACACGTCACATATGTGGTCATCGGTTCATCAGCACTTCGAGTTTGCATCTGGTAGTAAGTGGTCTGATTTTTCCCACACCTACCGCACTTAAACTTATCAGTACTGGCCACTGGAGGACCTCCAAGTTGGCTATTAAATAATGCTTTTTCTTTAATCTTCTGATTCTCCTGTTGCCTTTCATCACTTGCCATATCTTCTGGGCTCAATTCGATAATACTACGAGGTGGGTACTGTCCTAGAAGGACTTTTCTCCGAAAATCTGGGTTGTTTGGATCCTTAATGTTAAACATTATAGATCTATACTTAAACTTCTGGGCGCCATTAGATCTACCCCACTTGTCAAACATTGCAGTTTCCACCTGAACTGCAACTCTATAAGGATCACAGGCATTCACAGCATCCCTCAAATTGTCATCAACTTCACTTGAGACTTTGCAAAGAGCCTCGGCAAGGAGCTCCCGGACTTTGTCTCTCACAGAATCCTTACAGTAAATGAGAGCAGACAACTTTGGTGGGGCAGCAGTTGCCGCGTTAGAGCTCAATTTCTCATCTTTGGGTGTCTTCTCAATCTCTACACTTTTGGAAGTAGTACTCTCAGTCTTCACAACAGTGACATTCTCAGACTGTATCTCGGTAAAGGAAATTTCTGACTTTGCTGCTCTCTCAGATTTTGAAATCACTGACCTGCTTGACTTCTCAACCTTCACATTCTCACCCCTCGACACCTTTTCAACCTTCACCGAGTTCACACTCTGAAATTTATTGGCTTCATCACCATCAGCTCCAGCACATTCAGATTTTACAGATTCCCCGTTTACTCCATTGCCATTCTTATTTTTCATTGTTTCTCTCACAATTATGGTCTTCCAGTTCTTAACTACATCAGAAGCCAATGCCTGGATCTTCTCCCTTGGATGTTTTGTCAATAGCCGGAGACGTTTGCCCACCTGAAACATTATTCTTTCCATCAAATAAAGGAAAAGGATTATGTACCTCCACTAGCAGATGGGACCTTCAAGTGCACAATAACTAGAACAAAGAAACAATAACAGGTAGTACAACCAATATGTGATATTCCAAAATCGCTAGGAAAGCCCCAAGGGAAATGAAACCAATCCAGCTGAAAAGCATGAACTCAGAAAAATGACACGTGTCTTTTACCCTAAGACTTTACTTTTCTCAGCCCTGCTCTCTGCTTGATCCGATGACTTGTGTTCTTCCTCTGTTTCATTCTTGTTATCATTATTTATTTGGTCGTCTCTGCCATTAGTATTTTTTTATTGGTATTAGATGAGAACATGTGTCATCTTTGTTGGTAAAAAATCCGGACTGTACTCAAAATGGATTAAGTGCCAACAGAACATTGATGGATTTCCAGATAGTGTCCATTGCAGCTACGACAAGCGAGAGGTGGCACTAGTTGCCACAAACAAGATATGTTACCGGATGTAGGAATTTCTCCTCTTCTGCCTAACTGGCTCCTATTTTGTCTGTTTTCACATAGGATTTACAACTGATATTGGCTTCTTTTTTTCGCTAATGTTTTGCAATTTTTGGTCAACTCTTGTCCTTATTGTAATGGAGATATGAAGTTCATCGTCGGTAATAGCAAGAAAGAAGAAACAATTGGGCTGCACTACTACAAATGTCTTGTGAGTACTATTACCATTATTTTTTCTACTTG